TTTTGGACTGGTTGTTGTTTTGGACTGGTTGTTGTTTTGGACTGGTTGTTGTTTTGGACTGGTTGGGTTTTGGACTGGTTGGGTTTTGGACTGGTTGTCCTTATTAAGAGAACCTAGATTTTAAGTTAAATTTGGTTATTTTAACATATATTTCCCCCCGCACTGTGACTGCTGGATATGGGCACCAGGGAGTGACCCTGAAATGAATAAATGGGTAAAACACAATAAATGGATACATTTTTTAGTCTTAAACATTTTTTTGTATTTATAAGATTTTAATAATCCTAACAGCCAGTGGAAACTAAAATGAGCCCAAAACAAAAACTTGAGACTCAAGAGAATAACAGACCACCATTTTTTTAGGGGTGGGGTGGGAGACATTGCCCCTCCTAGCCACCCCCCACTTGTGGCACCCCTGGTGATTGACATGTTCCATGGTGGAATGACAGCTTAAACCAGCACACATCTCTCTGTTAGATGCCAGAGACAAACAGGTTTGGTTTATGTGTCTGTAGTACAGACAAGATGTTTGTGATCTTACCTCCATAAGGACATCCATTCCACGCTCAGATTCAGACCACTCTGTCTGTGTTCCTTGCTCTGCTGTTTTTAATCACTTTGAGCCAATGTCTCTTTCATTTTTAAAGGACTTGGTTGTCCAGATTAAGTCCTCTGGTTCACCATGTGATGCTCTTCCACCACACTTTTTAAGGAAGTTTTCCCTTGCTTTGAGCACTTGGTTCTTGCCCTTTCTAACAGTAGTCTGCTTTCTGGTGTAGTCCCTGCTAATTTTAAACATGCTGTGGTCCAGCCTCTGATAAAGCAAGCTGGCCTTGATCCCACAGTGTTGGGGAATTTTAGGCCTATCTCAAAGCTTCCATTATTATCACAAATCCTGGAGAAAATTGTTCAGTGTCAGTTAAAATCCTTCCTAGATGAACATGGCATCATGTCTGGCTTTAAAACTCTTCATAGCACAGAGTCAGCTCTGCTTAGAGTTTTTAATGACATTCTCCTGGCCTGTGACTGGTGATCACGTGATCTTTGTTTTATCAGATTTAACTGCTGCTTTTGATACTGTGAATCACAGCATTTTATTGTCATGCCTACAGCACCAAATAGGCATTGGTGGCACCGGTCTGGAGTGGTTAAGGTCCTATCTGGCAGACAGAACATCTGGAGGGGAGAATAAGTTGCTGTGCATTTGTTCAAATATTATTGGTTGAAAACTTGGGACCACCCATATTGAGTGATGTTAATAAAAAGTTGCAGGAGGTTTATCTCTTTGGAGAAGGAAGCTGCTGTGTTACAGAGAGGCTGTCTCCATTTGCACAAGAAAAACTCAACACTGGTGTCATTCCCATTTGTGTCTCCGCAGTTCCTCTTGTGATTTAACATGTTCTGAACCTGACAGGGACTAATAACTGTTATTATTATTATTATTATTAATTTATTATATTGTTAATTTCAGAATGAAACTGTTCAAAGTTTCATTGTGAGAAAGAATTTACGATACTATTACCAACTGTATCTCTTATTCATAAGATAAAATAATGAATAAATAATTTGTTTTGTCAAACATTTTGTTAGATTGTTGTTGCAGTGTTTAGCTTTTGTTATTTTGTATAGGTTTCCTAAATTAATTCATTGTAATTCATATAAAAACATAAATCCATCCATTATCTGTACCCGTTTATTCCTTTCAGGGTCACTGGTGTCCATATCCAGCAGTCCCAGTGTGAGGGGCGGGGTACACCCTGGACAGGTCTCAGGTCCATCACAGGGCATAACAACAATACAAAGTGTAACATAAATTGATTTTTACACTACTCTACCTTTACAGCTTATAACATGTAAATTAATAGTGTGTGGGATCAATAAAGTTGTATTTTGTGGTCCTGTAAAAAGTTTTAATTCATTGTTTTTGGTGCCTGTTTTTCTCTGTGTGTTTGAATAAATGATGGTGCTGTATTAATGTAAATCTCTGTTAAAATGTGTTTTATGAAACAAAGTCCATTCATTTGTAGTTCATAGCGCAGCGGTGCCTCCTCCAACATGGCGGACACACAGGCTCGTCACAGCAGCGGACCGACACAGTCAACAGGGCTTCTACCTATTGGTTTCTATGTGGGAAAGAAGGTGTTCGGCCCACCGGGGAGACCCCTGCTGGACTCTGCCAGTCACCCCTGCAGCAGACAGACTTTAAACGTAGCAGGACAAGCTGTGAAGCCTGGTTGTTTCCCAAAGCTTTGAGCTCTGAGGGGAGAGAAGCCAGGCTCCAGCACAGTGGGGGTGAGTTGAGGAAAACATGATTTATAAACAGGTTTAGTCATGTTTTAGATTGTCATATGCTGCCAGATGTAAAGTGCAGCCATGACAGAGCAGATATCCAGTCTGCCCTCTTCCTGGTACTGTGTTCTGGAATAAAATCTTTTAGTGGTACGCAGGACCGGACTGGACCGGACCAGCTTCCTTTCAGCCCTGGGTTTAGGTTATTTTTCTTTCAGAGGTGTTTCTTTCTGCCTCTCTCTGGTGTCTGTCTTTCACCTGTAAAAGATGTTGTTGATCTGTCGGCGGATGTAGGCTCGAAGGCCAAGGAACTTCCCGTAGATGCGATGGAGGATGGTCTTTAAGAAGTCCCTCTCCCTGGGGTCCTCACTGTCGAACAGCTCCAGCAGCTGGAGGACAGGTGAGACAGTCAGAGCTGCACTGGTCTCACCTGCTTTCACTTCCACAGCTGCTGTCTTACCAACAGAACGAACTTCTGGTCGATGTACTTCTTAGCAACGTTTGGCTGGAAGTCTGGAGACTCCAGGAAGCGAAGGAAGAACTCGTACACCAGCTGTGGACATAAAGACACAGCTGGTTCAGGTCTGGTTCTAAAGGAGGTTCTGCAGGTTGCCCAAGGGCACGCGGTCGTACCTGAAGGTGAGGCCAGGCTGCCTCCAGCGTGGGCTCGTCCTCCTCGGGGTCAAACTCAGCTCCAGTCGGGTTGGAGGATGGTGGGAGAGTTCGGAACACGTTGACAGAAAACTGAGACAACACACAGCAGACATGGTTCTGGTTCAGCTCGGAGCAATCAGAACAAATCCAGAACCAGAACTTGTCCTGTGGCCTCACCATGATGACGGCCTCAGGGTAGATCGATTCGGTCACCACTTCACTGTTGTGCGTGATGTACTCCACCATCTCATTAAGCCCCGCCCTCTTAACCTCCTTGTACTTGAGGTCACTGAGGGGGTCGCTAATGAAGTCGAACAGAACGCAGCACTGACGCAGCTTCTGCACGAAGAGCTCCTCTCGTTCCAGGGTCGGGGCATCTGAGGACCACAAGGAGCGGGGTCACTTCTGTCAGGTCAGGTTTATTCTAGCTTTAAGGCTACAGTTAGCCAGGGTTAGGTTTATTCTAGCTTTAAGGCTACAGTTAGCCAAGGTTAGGTTATTCTAGCTTTAAGGCTACAGTTAGCCAGGGTTAGGTTAATCTGAGCTAACTCTGAGAGCAGACAGATGTAGGGCTGCAGCTAACGATTGTTTTAGTAATCGATTAATCTATGGATTATTCTGACGATTAATCAAGTAATCGGATATAAAAAAAATAGTCATGTTCTGCAGTAATTATTTAAGCTTATTTTATGAGAAATGCAATTATTTAATATTGTGAAGGGGTAATATAC